AAGCTCTGAAGTTCTGCACCAATTAGGAGGAAACTCTCAAACAGTTTCTTACCACTTTGAGATACATGGTGTGAAGTTCTTCTCTTCAACCTACTGTGTCATTTAAGTGTCTCTCTTACCCATTTTCAGTGTCTACCTTGTGAAGAAAGTCAGTTTGAGGGTTTTCAGAGGTAATGTCGTCCTCATCATCTGATCTAAGATGTGGTCCATTTCGATAATTTCCTTTAGCAAACTGCAAGCCACACAATCCAAACAGAGGCTGTTATTATGCCCTTGGGTCAGAGCTTGGGCCTGCCCTACTCCTTTCCAAAGGGAAAACACTGAGAACTTTCCCAGCCCCAAGGAGCACCTGCTATCCTTGTACTGAGTTCTTTCTGTGTGAATAACACCTCACATAATATAACTCACAAAGTAGAAAAAGAAGGGCTGGATAAGTAACAATTGGCTGAATCCATAAAGTATTTATCAGTGAGATTCTAAATTCCAAAGTAACTGCAGCTCTGCACATATGTATGCATAGATAAGTGTGCAAAATCAACAAATAAGTAAATTAATACCCTGTTTTTTAAAAAGTGGAGTTTAAAAACGTTGTATGGTTTAGTCAGGGGCAGTGAAGAGTAGGTCTACAATGCTCTCTTGATCTCCACCCCCAGCTGTCTTCCCCACAATGTTTACTAGCTTCTTCTTTATTTTCAACAGAGATTCTATGCACAAATAAGCAGAGATGTTTACGTATACATGTATCTATATCTATATCTGTCTCTCCGTATAATACAGAATAGACCCTTTAAAATATATTTGGGGGTGATATTTATATAGTCTATTCTGTGCATAAAAATACTTTGAATTTCTTTAACCTATTTTGGAGTCAATTTCATATTAGTACACACAGAGCTGCTTTGTTTTTAAAATGGCTACATGGTATTCCATTGTGGGGCTGTATGATAATTTTCCAATCAGTTTTTTTATTAACAGGTATGTAGAATTTTTCCAATCATTTGCTATCACAAACAATGCTGGAATGAATATCCTTACACATCTATATGTTGTTGTTGTGTATGTGTGCAGTGTATCTATTGAATAACCCTACAAGTAGAACTTCTAGATAAATAGATATGTGTATTCTAAATTTTGATAGATTTTAACCAAAGTATGCTTTAAAGAGGTTGAATCAATGTACACTCTCAGCAAAAATGGTTAAGAGTGCCGGTTTCCCACTCCTGTCTAAAACCATGTGCTACTGAAATTTTTGATACTTGCTACTTTGGTATGTTGAAACTCGTATCTCATTTTGGTGTTAGTCTCATTTTATGTATGAGGTTGAGTGTCTTTACCTATATGTATAAAACTCATTTTTATTTCATTTTCTAAAGTAAGGGTGTTGATAGCCTTTGTCCATTCCCTACCAGACTGTTGTTATTAATATTTTGCTGAAGAGCCTATATGTTCTCTCTCGTATGCTTTTGGAAGGGTCACAGTAAATGTGTGATACATGTCTATAAAAGTAGTTCCCAGTCTATGGGACTTGAACCCTGAGGGTGGAGGTGTGGTCAGGGTCGAGAGAGAGTTGAGTCACTTCACATCCATCCTGCTTAGAAGGGGATCCTAGAATCTATAAAGATTTCTATAGTCTGAATAAATACTGCCTACATAAAAAAAAACTTATATGAAAAACTGCCCAAAGTTTTCAAATGCATATGCTACTACCTTCAATAAATTATAAATGCATTTAAGAACATCTTTGATATCATAATAGCTTTCTTGCCATATGAGGGGTTCTTGGAAAATTTTTTCCCTTAAAAATGTTTTTCTAGTTAAAAAGGTTGTTAATCATAGCTAAATTTGTATGCATTTTTAACAAGTACTAGCAAATGTATATATGTGTTTATACCACTGTTTGTATTCCCTCAATGCCAGGAAGTATTTTAAATGGCTTAGATCTTTAGCAGGTAAAGAAAGTGAAGCCACAAAACAATGAACATATTTTCCCAGATTGAGATTAGCGTCTAGAAAACTAGACCCTTTCAAATGGGTATCTGGCCAGTTTATGACTGTGGGCCTCTTTAGCTTCTCAAAAGGCCTACTACGGTAAATGTTCCTGAGATAAAAATTCGATAAATTATAGGAAAGACTGCCAACCTAGACCCTGAACCTGGAAATATCATCATTTGCATACCACTGGTTCAAGAATGTCTACAGTTGGAACCCTAGAAACTGCTTCTGCAAGCTCAGTTCTGACTTACTCCTGCATTGCGCTTTTAGTCACATTGAGCTTTTGGAAAAAGCCACTGTTTCTCTCAGTCAACAGTTGTTCCTGGCAGTCCATCTTCACCTGCAGAGACACCTCGTGATTTAGATTTGTGGGCATGAGAGCCATTTCCCTGGCACTGCAAGGACAATAACCACAACAGGGATTTTATGTCAGGATTGGCAACCACATCCTCTTGGCTGACACCAGCTGACATCTTCCTCAGGGTGTTTGGCTTTAATTTATACCCTTCCAAACTGGCTGTTCATTGTAAGGGACCCCAAAGCAAGCTCTTAGGTTTCTCTTCTCAAGTATATATGAGAAAGTCCTGTGTGGTAATCTCCAAGGACACACCTCTAGAGAAGTGTCTAAGCTGCTAAACGTGCATTTTCAATGCTCAAAGGAGAATACAATGGAGGAATATACAATAACCAGCTTGGAAGAATGGGAACTTTCATTTTTATAACCTCTTTCTGATTATATAACAATACGCATATTGCAAAAAGTAAAGGCAAAAGAAGAAAGTAAAATCATTGGTACTTCAGAGGTAACCAGGGATAACCCCAGAGATATCCAGACTTAAGCACTGTTAATATTTTAGTACATTTTATTGCTGCTTCTAAATTTGGTATTTGTTTTATTATTTTTCCATTGTTGAAACTAGGTTATTTCTAATTGCTCAGTAGTATAAGTAATGCAGTAATGAATATCTTTGTTTAGTAATTTTCAGTGCATGTCTAATTACCTAAGATACTTCCTTAGAGGTGGAATTGCTGGGTCAAAGGGGTTTGCCCACATTTTTAAGGATTTAGACAAATATCTCCAAATTGCTTTCTAAAAGGTTTAACTAATATACACCAGCATCAGCTGTATGTAAGAACAGGAACCTTCATTCCAGTCTGATAGGCGAGTGTTCTCTGGATAGCAGAGGACTGAATTGCTGGAGTACTTAAGTAGCATGAAAAATAACACGCAAAGGAAAGAGGAAAGAAGGTGGAGATGTGTGAGATAGGCTCTGGGAAGCTCATATGAAAAGCTGTAGGGAAAGGACAGATGCAAAACATAACTCCTAGCTATAGGCAGAAATCAGTCGGGTGTGTCCAGGCCAAACAGGAAGAAACCTTCTCTTCTGGATATTCCAGTGAGTGATAGCTGTAGATTGGCCTAGAACTAGAGGTTGGCCTGGCTCTCATGGGAAGAGAAGGCATTTTTCTGCAAGGGTGATTTATAACAGGGACTAGCAACCAGGAGGAAGAACCGGGAGGAGGGAGGCCCTGGGAATCAGAGATGTTAAAACTATTTGGACACACAAGGGCTTGGTCGATCATTCTGTGGCAGAATTGAGCTTTGTTCTTGACCTGTGTGGTATAAAGGGGGCCCCTGTGAAAGAGAAGCATCAGGACAGAACTAGAACCTTTGATGGTGATGGCGCCATTCTTTTTAACTTTGAATGTGACAAAGAATAAACCTTTGATCTCCCTCAGCAAGATCACTATGGCCTGCCAATTTTATTGCAGCCCCTATCTGGACAGTTTTGTCCGTTTCCTGAAGGTGTTAAGCATTACAAAGGGAATTCCAAGCTCTGAAAGGTGAACAGACACTGAAATCTGACTTGTTTACTGTTTTTCTGGTCCAAAAACTAGAATACCATAAAAGGAATAAAATTTCCTTATTTTGACAATGCTCTGACATCTATCTCAATGGCTTCCCCAAGAGTGATTTCAAAGAAAATATATTCTGTCAATTCAGGCACCTACCCAAATTCTGCCTCCATACATTCTCTCACATTTTACGTAACAATTAGAATCCTAACAATGGCTTATGTCTGTGCAGCCCCTAACAGATTACAAAATGCCTTTCATATATTTTCTCATTCAGTTCTCACAACAACATGATACAGAGCGTATTATCCCCATTTTATGCTTGTAATAATGGAGCCTCTCAGAGATGATGTGATTTACTTAGTCAGATATAAGAAGTAAAGCCAGGACTCAGAGCCTCCATGTCCTCGCAGCTACTGATAAAAAAGGTTTTTCCCACCTCCCACCTCCAAAGATGATCTAGACCAGAGCTCTCCAATAGAACTTTCTGTGTTGATGAAAATGTTCTCTACACTGTTCCATACAGGAGCTACTAGTCACACGTTTCTATTGAGCACTTGAAACGTGGCCAGTGAAACTAAGGAACTGAGTTTATAGCCACACGTGCCTAGCGACTACCATATTGGACAATTCAGAATTTTCTTTTCTTTTTTTTTTGAGACAGAGTCTTGCTGCGTTGCCAGGCTGGAGTGCAGTGGCATGATCTCAGCTCACTGCAATCTCCATCTCCTGAGTTCAAGCGGTTCTCCTGCCTCAGCCTCCCTAGTAGCTGGAATTACAGCCGCGCACCACTACACCCAGTTAATTTTTGTATTTTTAGTAGAGACAGGGTTTCATCATGTTGGCCAGGATGGTCTCGATTTCCTGACCTCATGATCTAGCCGCCTCGGCGTCCCAAAGTGCTAGGATTACAGGCATGAGCCACCACACCTGGCAGACAACTCAGAACTTTCTAGAGCAAGGATCATCAAACTGTGGCCTACAGGCAAAATCCAGCCTGCCACCTGTTTCTAGAAATGACATGTTATTGCAACACAGCCACACTCATTCCTTTACAAACTGTCTATGACTGCTTCTGCACTGCCATGAGAGAGTTGAATGGTTGCAAGAGAAATCATTTGGCATAGAAAGGCTAAATGTTTACTATCTTGCCCTTTACAGAAGAAGCATGCCAACCCCTGTTCTAGACTATGACCTTCTCCTATGATGTTTGGTGTTTGCTACAATCAATCAGTTGAAAGCAGTAAATAAGAACTTAAATTTTGGAAAGTCAGCTGAGTTTGAATTCTAGCATCAACACTTCACAGCTGGGCATCATCTTATTGTATGGGGGGGCCACACTTTTTCATCTGTGGAATGGGGCTAACACTAGTAATACTAATATTATTAGAGATGTGAGAGTGAAATTGCACTTAACATGGTGTCAGGTAAATAGCAAACACCTGCTAATGTTATCTATCTATTAAAATATAAGCAGTGGAAATGGGAGCAATTAGTAAGGTTTGTTTAACTTCAAGTAACATAGTAATAAAAGTAATGCTTACACACATGCAGCACTTTCAGTTCATAGGGCACTTTCACTAAGCTGTTTCTTCTGACCCTCACAATTACCCTGTGGTTAACCAACCATGGCAGATCTCATTACCCCTATTTTGTCAGAGGAAGAAACTGAAACACAGAGATGACCAAGGACTTGTCCAAAGTGTTATTGCTAGAAAATGGTAAAATCAGGATGGAAACCTGCAAATTCTGAAGTTTTGCAATCATCTATTATAGTTATACTACTACTTATTATAATGAATAAAATCAATGCCCAGTATGTCTTAATGGGTTAGTTAACAGCTATCTTACCTCACTAACAATCCATCTTTTGAAGCTAACATTTGACTAGTTACATAGTGCAAGTCCTTACTGCTCAAGTGTGTCTGCAGCCCAGCAGCCTCAGCGATTCCGGGGAGTTTGCTAAACATGCAGACACTAGGTCCCACCAGACTCACTGAACCAATGTCTGCCTTTTAGCAAGATTTCAGGTAATTCATACACATATGAAAGTTGGGAGTTACTCACACTCTAGACCTTTAAAAATAGACTCCCTCTTCTTCTCCCTACACCCCTTGTCTTCATTCCTGCATGTTTACACCATTGGCTTTCTAGGATTGTTTGGTACAACTGGAGGGAATCCCTCCTCCTTCCCCCATGCCCTATAAAAGCCTTTCAAATTACACATTTGGAGAAGCACAAGTTTGAGTCAAAAGGAACAATCAATTATTTTAAAAGACAGTTGATGTAATCACTAACTTACATTGTGAGGCGATTTCTCCGGCCTGACCACCCAGATTACCCTCTTCAGTTCCTGCTACCTGGACAATCTGGGATCTCAGAAATCTGTCAAAGCCATCGTACCAATATGCAGGGATTTGATGTCACTACAGGCTCCTGACAAGGTCATAATGAAATAGTACCTACCTGGAGATATCTTTGCTCTTCCCAATTTGGTAATCCCGAATATCTCTGAGTTCAAGGGAATAGACTAACAACAGTCAACGTTTCCTGTTCCAGTGGTGCTATAGCCGCCTTTCCTCAACACCCAACGCAGAGAGAAAGCCATTTAAGAGTGGGGAACACCAAGGCAGGTAAGAGTGCAGTTGGACTTTCCCTTTATGACATTCCTCTTGGAATGCGGTGCAACCCCCTTTCACAAGATTCTAGGTGTGCAGTGCTCTCCTGCCTGTCTTCTACCTGGCCCTTCTAGCCTGCCTCCCAGCCCCCTCACTTCTTTTGCTAACTCTGGAAACTAAGTCCTTTTCCTGCCCCAGCCCTCTGTCCACCCATCTACTGGCCTCTGATATGGTGTTCTGGAATGCTCTCCCAACCTCAGCTTCTTCTGCCACATCTGCTCTTTTCATCTCACCTGGACAGAACATCTGGCTTTCTCACAGAGGCTCAAAGACCGACAATGAAGTACATGTCTTCCACTCATTCCCCAACTCAGCAGTAATGAGCAAGCATTTGATCTTTTTTTTTTTTTGAGTTGGACTCTCGCTGTGTCACCCAGGCTGGAGTGCAGTGGCACGATCTCAGCTCACTGTAACCTCCAATTCCTGGGTTCAAGTGATTCTCCTGCCTCAGCCTCCCGAGTAGCTGGGATTACAGGCACCAGCCACCACGCCCAGTATTTTTAGTAGAGACAGGTTTCACCATGTTGGGCAGGCTGGTCTCAAACTCCTGACCTCAAGGAATCTGCCCACCTGGGCCTCCCAAAATGCTGGGATTACAGGCACAAGCCTCTGCACCCAGCCCAAGCATTTGATCTTGCAAACTAGGGATGCTCCAACCTTCTACCTCTGTCACCTCATCTCCTTCAAAGTCCACACTTCCTCTTATTATCACACTTTTACAACACACCTTCACCTTCTTCCAGGACTTCAGGGCCAGCTACACATTTCCTGCTGTATCACATCCTCTTCTATTATTCTTGGTCAACTCGGCAGCCATGGGAAGGGCCTAACAGTCTGACCTTACAAGTCC